GGAAAACAGAGGGAGAAAATGTGGAGACTTTGTATATCTAGGTGCAAAGATGACTGCAGATGCAGACTGTGGCCAGGAAATCAGACGCTTCCTTCTTGGGAGGAAAGCAATGTCCAATCTCGATAAAATAGTAAAGAGTAGAGACATCACACTGGCAACAAAGATCCGCATAGTCAAAGCCATGGTATTCCCTGTAGTAACCTACGGATGTGAGAGCTGGACCTTAGGGAAGGCTGAGCGAAGGAAGATCGATGCTTTTGAACTGTGGTGTTGGAGGAAAGTTCTGAGAGTGCCTTGGACTGCGAGAAGATCCAACCAGTCCATCCTCCAGGAAATAAAGCCCGACTGCTCACTGGAGGGAAGGATACTAGAGACAAAGTTGAAGTACTTTGGCCACATCATGAGGAGACAGCAAAGCCTAGAGAAGACAATGATACTGGGGAAAGTGGAAGGCAAAAGGAAGAGGGGCCGACCAAGGGCAAGATGGATGGATGGCATCCTTGAAGTGACTGGACTGACCTTGAAGGAGCTGGGGGTGGTGACGGCCGACAGGGAGCTCTGGCGTGGGCTGGTCCATGAGGTCACAAAGAGTCGGAGATGACTGAACAAATGAACAACAACAACAACAAATGCAACTGTCTTTCAGGCTGCAAAGGTCGACAGTAAGCTACACAAATGGCATTAGGAAGGTTGAGAAACACTGCAGTATGGGATGATGACGTTGGGATGTCAAGTTCCTTTTGGGTCTGCTTCCTGGCTGAGGTATTTGAGGAATTGTAGTCTGAAAGAACTTTGCACAAAGGTACCTTGTGTTGCCTAGTTTATTACGATTTGCTGCTTTATAATGGGCACGCTTTAGCAGACTGCCCCGTCAAAGCGCTTTTGAAAGGGGATCGAGGCAGGCAGACTCCCAAAAAAGGCTGTTATCAAAGCTTTGCAAAATCCAGATGAGCATTCGCCCCGGTGAGATGATGGAGATGAAACAGATACAGGAACAGGAGTTTAGTACAATATTATCAGATGAGCCGGGGAAAGGCGTACATTCAAAACCATCGCCGGGAGAATATTAGACGCGAAATGGTGAGATGTTAGGAAGATCTTACACGTGTTCTATTGATCCTATCCGCTCTCCATCTTTTTCTCTCCAAGCTAAACACGCTCAGCTCCTTCAGATGTCCCTCATCAGCTTGGGCTTCCAGATTTCACGATCTTTGTTGCCTCTCTCTGGATCAGTGTTTCTCAACCTTCCTAATGCTGCGACACCTTAATACAGTTCCTCATGTTGTGGTAACCCCCAACTATAACATTATTTTCGTTGCTACTTCATGACTTTAATTTTGCTGCTGTTATAAATCGTAACGTAAATATATGATATGCAGGATGTATTTTCATTTACTGGCACAAATACCTGATACACTCAAATTTGAATACTGGTGGGGTTCGGAGGGCCGGATTGATGTTGTCATTTGGGAGTTGTAGTTGCTGGGATTTATAGTTCACCTACCACCAAAGAGCATTCTGTACTGCACCAACGATGGAATTGAACCAAACTTGCACAGAGAACTCCCATGGTCAGCAGAAAATACTGATAGGGTTTGGTGGGCGGTAACCTTGAGCTTTGGAGTTGTAGTTCACTCAAACAGTGATGAATCTGGACCAAACTTGGCACGAATACTCTATATGCCCAAATGTGAATACTGGCGGAGTTTGGGGAAACTAGAGCTTGACATTTGGGAGTTGTAGTTGCTGGGATTTATAGTTCACCTACCAGCACAGAGCATTCTGAAAAAGAACGGAGAAGCATCCCGAGCTCTGAAGATCACCTGGGAAGGAACCCCACTGGAACATTGCAGGCATATTTCAGGATATGAGAATCTGGGTCTTTGAGGAGCTTACTGCCTATTACAGGGAAAACCAGCTGATGCCCAACCCATCTGAAACACAGACACGTGCTTTTCATCTCAAGAACAGACAAGCATCCCGAACTCTGAGGATCACCTGGGAAGAAATCCCACTGGAGCATTGCAGCGCACCCAAATACTTGGGAGTCACTCTGGACTGTGCTCTGACCTACAAGAAGCATTGCCTGAACATCAAGCAAAAAGTGGGTGCTAGAAACAATATCATACGAAAGCTGACTGGCACAACCTGGGGATCACAACCAGATACAGTGAAGACATCTGCCCTTGCGCTGTGCTACTCTGCTGCTGAATATGCATGCCCAGTGTGGAACACATCTCACCACACTAAAACAGTGGATGTGGCTCTTAATGAGACATGCCGCATCATCACAGGGTGTCTGCGCCCTACACCACTGGAGAAATTACACCACCTGACATCCGCCGGGAAGTAGCAGCCAATAGTGAAAGGACCAAGGCAGAGACATCTCCAGCTCATCCCTTGTTTGGGTATCAGCCAGCAGGTCAACAACTTAAATCTATAAATAGTTTTCTAAGATCTACAGAGACACTCGCTAGAACACCTCAGCAAGTGAGAGTCCAAAACTGGCAGGCTCAAACCCAGAACCTCAACCAATGGCTGGTACCAAATGAGAGACTCCCCCCTGGGCACACAGAAGACTGGGCAACTTGGAAGGCACTGAACAGACTGCACTCTGGCACCACGAGATGCACAGCCAACCTTCAAAAATAGGGCTACAAAGTGGAATCCTTGACATGCGAGTGTGGAGGAGAGCAAACCACTGACCACCTGCTGCAATGCAACCTGAGACCTGCCACATGCACTATGGAGGACCTCCTTGCGGCAACACCAGAAGCACTCCAAGTGGCCAGATACTGGTCAAAGGACATTTAATCAACTACCAAACCCACAAATTTTGTATTCTGTATTTTGTATTTTGTCTGTTTGTTTGCTTTGTTCTGTTAGAAATGTAGTATAGCCAATTGGAAGAGTGGTATAGGGAGATTTGGGACATCGCAATAAACGATAAACTGACAGGAAACATTAAGGTTAAAAGAGGATTATCAAAAAAAGATGATTTTGGGAAGATTTGGGGAAAATTGATAGAATATGTATATATAGAAGGTAAGGGGACCAAACCTGTAATAGAAACAACTGATTTTTGGAAATAAGTATTGTAATTGGCTGGTCGGTGGTGAAGGGTTAGCACTGGGTGATTGGGTGTAATGAAGCAGGAGAATGAAATATTATAGGTATCAAGACATACATGTCTTGATACCTATAATTGTTAATGGAAGGTGATAAGTATAAGAATGTTTAAATACCGAATATGTTAAAGTTACAATAAATAAAAAAATTATTACAAAAAAAGAAAAAGAAATGTAATATAACTGACTGGTTGCTGATGACTCGATAAATAAATAAATAGCATTCTGAACTCCACCAACGATGGAATTGAACCAAAATAATAATATGCATAATAGTTGTGTGAGTTTAAATACTTTCTTGTTATAATTTCAGGGACAATTAACATGGCAACATAAGATGCTAATTCTAAATTTTTAAGAATAGTTGGGACTTATGACACAGAAGTCCCATGATCAACAGAAAATACTAAAAGGGTTTGGTGGGTGTTGACCTTGAGTTTTGGAGTTGTAGTTCACCTACATCCAGAGAGCACTGTAGACTCAAACAATGATGGATCTGCACCAAACCTGACAGTAATACTCAATATGCCCAAATGTGAACACTGGTGGAACTTGAGGGAAATAGTCATTGGCATTGGGAGTTGTAGTTGCTGGGATTTATAGTTCACTTACAGTCAAAGAGCATTCTGAACTCTAACAATGATGGAAATGGGCCAAACTTCCCACACAGAACCCCCATGACAAACAGAAAATATTGTGTTTTCTGATGGTCTTTGGTGACCCCTCTGACACCCCTCAGGACCCTCGCAGGGGACCCAACCCCCAGGTTGAGAAACACTGCTCTAGATGCATTCCAGCTTGATCCGATCCTTCTTGAATTGTGATGCTGAAACTGGACACAACACACCAGAGGAGATCTGATAAATGCGGTCTAGGGAGGGACTATTCCTCTAAGTTAATATGCCCAAATCTTATTTTATTTACTTACTAGCTTGGGGACCTGGTAGTGCCCGAGTTATTTGAGAAAGGCATTGTTTGTTTTTCAAAGTTTGGTAATATTGATTGTCGAAGGATTCCATGACTGGAATCACTGGGTTGTTGTAGGTTTTCGGACTATATGGCCATGTTCTAGAAGCATTCTCTCCTGACGTCTCGCCTGCATCTATGGAAGGCATCCTCAGAGGTAGGCATCCTCAGAGGCTGAGCCTGGAACTTTTGGTTACTGTTACATTTTTGTTCAGGCTTGAGCTATACAGGTGCTTAGAAGAGAGAAGCAGAGAGAGACAGAGTTTGGAGTACTCTTGCTTCATGGACAAAGAAAGACCGTTTTAAATTTCTCATAAAAGGACATTATGTGAGTTGATGCAACTGACCACATTGTTCATATGTTGTTCTTTGATGTCTGGTGAACTATAAATCCACTTTCCCCAAATCCCGCCAGTATTTTCTCTTCGTCATGGGGGTACTATGTGCCAAGTTTGGACCAGGTCTGTAATTTGTGGGGGTCTCATTGGACTGTGGAAGTCCGAGCTGAATCGGTTGAAGGTACTTCGAATCCCTTCATCCATATTCCCCCAAACATATTGTTTTTATCATTAATCACTATGCTCTAATTATGTTCAGTTTGTAACAATGAAAATACATCGTGTATATCAGATATTTACATTACAACTCATAACAGTAGCAGTTATGACGTAGCAACAAAAATATGGTTGGGGGTCACCATAACATGAGGAACTGTATTTAGGGGTTGAGAATTAGAAAGGTTGAGAACCACTGGCCTAGACAATCCAAGTGCTGGCTTTGTCACCTTTCAGTGTTTGTATCTGATATTGAATGCAGATATATATGTGGCAATGGAGGCTTGTCCTCAACCCTTGCTGTGTTTTGCAGGGAATGACTCTCTCTGTCTTATCCTCTCGTCTTCCCCAGATCACCTTTTTCATGCTCTTGTCGGCTGTCTGTGTGATGCTCAACTTGGCCGGCTCCATCCTTTCCTGCCAGAATGCACAGCTGGTGAACTCGTTGGAGGGGTGCCAACTGGTGAGTAGCAACCGCAGAATAATAATTGCAGTAGTAATTTTTCTTCACTTACTTAGGCGATCCATCGTTGTCTGAGTGGGATTGCCTTCCAAGATCGGTGTACTGGCGGTGGGTACGTAGGTGACTGTAGAGCCCTATTCTTTATCTGCATCTTCTCCTGAAGTGAGGGCATTGGTTTCCACGTGGAAGGCGGTCCCAGTCGGGGTTGGCTTGATGCGCCTTCCTCTTGGCACATTTCTTGGCAGTTGCAGTAGTAATAATGACAGAATAATATAATAGTAATAATAATGGAAGTATGTGTCATGGGTCACCAGATGATAACTCCCATCATTCCATAGCATTGAGCCATTTGTGCCTCTTCAAATTCTACAGCACTGCTAGTCACAGCTGACCTCCAGCTGGAGCACTCAAGGGCCAGGGCTTCCCAGTTCTCAGTGTCTATGCCAGAGTTTTTAAGGTTGGCTTTGAAACCATCTTTAAATCTCTTTTCCTGTCTTCCAACATTCCATTTTCCGTTCTTGAGTTCGGAATAGAGCAACTGCTTTGGGAGACGGTGGTCGAGCATCCGGACAATGTGGCCGGTAAAGCGGAGTTGATGCCGGAGGACCATGTCTTCAATGTTGGTGGTCTTCGCTTCTTCTGTCATGCTGATGTTTGTCCGCTTGTCTTCCCAAGAGATTTGCAGGATTTTTCAGAGGCAGCACTGATGGAATTGTTCCAGGAGTTGCATGTGACGTCTGTAGACAGTCCACGTCTCGCAGGGTTGGGAGGACAATAGCTTTATAAACAAGCATCTTATTTATTTATTTATTTACTTTACTTGTATACCGCAGTTTCTCAGCCCAACAGGCGACTCAACGTGGTTTACAACAAGGATAAGAATCAATCAACTATATACAATTTAAAACCATAAAAGCATAATATACAATACTGACACAATATTGTATATTATTCAATATAATATATTATCTTGGTCTCCCTACGGATGTCCTGGTCCTCAAACACTCTCTGCTTCATCCGGAAAAATGCTGCACTCGCAGAGCTCAGGAGGTGTTGTATTTCATTGTCAATGTTGACTTTGGTGGAGAGGTGGCTGCCAAGGGAGCGGAAATGGTCAACATTTCTAATGTTACACCATTAAGCTGTATTTCTTTCATTGCAGAGGGATTGGCTTGAGCCTGCTGGAAGAGCACTCTGGTTTTCTCAATGTGCAATGACAGGCTGAGCTTCTCGTATGCTTCTGTGAAGGTGTTTAGAGTGGCTTGTCGGTCTGCTTCTGAATGCACAGAGACGATGTTGTCATCAGCATATTGGAGTTGCAGTAGTAATAATGACAGAATAATATAATAGTAATAATAATGGAAGTATGTGTCATGGGTCACCAGATGACAACTCCCATCATTCCATAGCATCGAGCCGCAGTAGTTCAAGTGCCGTCAAACTGCACCCATACTGAAGTGACATTGTACCTATATGTTGTTGTTGTTTATTCGTTCAGTCGCTTCGGAGTCTTTGTGACATCCTGGACAATCCCAGGCTAGAGCTCCTTGTCAGCTGTGGCCACCCCCAGCTCCTTCAGAGTCAAGCCAGGCACTTCAAGGATACCATCCATCCATCTTGCCCTTCTTTTTTGCTTCCATTTCCCCCAGCATTATCATCTTCTCTAAGCTTTCCTGTCTTCTCATGATGTGGCCAAAGTACTTCCTTTTTGCCTCTAATATCCTTCCCTCCAATAAGCAGTAAGGCTTTATTTCCTGGAGGATAGACTGGTTGGATCTTCTTGCAGTCCAAGCACTCTCAGGATTTTCCTCGAGCACCACAGTTCAAAAGCGTCTTTCTTCCTTCGCTCAGCCTTCCTTATGGTCCAGATCATTTTTGATGAACATGTGATATTCTGATGACACCTGGGTATGACCGAGAATGTCATGATGCAATACCTAAGGGAATGTGGTAATGGCTGAGTCATAATCATGTAAGGGTTATTGCAAAGTGGCCAATGTCCCTTACCAATGTCCTATCAGGAAAATGAAAGAATCCATCTTTCTCTCTCCTTTGTGACTCAATGTGAGTATCTGCCTATGTTGTATATTTGTTTGCAAGGACAAGGAAAGTGGATCTGTGTATCCTGTCTGTATATTTATATATGTTGCACCTGTGAAGATTAAAGCCTCCGGATATTTGGATGAGAACCTGAATCCGTGAGTTTATTATACAGTGTGTAGATAGGGTCAAATGCTGGCAGTTGTGTGATGTATAAATAAATGTATGGTTTGAATGGAATTGTATAGAAGGTGTATGAATGGGGCCTAATTGGGCTGAAGATAATAATCTAAAGAATGAGGCCTGGAAAACTACAAGAAGGTGAAGAAATCATGGACTATAATTAAAAGTTGCTGATGACAACTGTGAGAATTATTAATTGTTGAACTTTTGGGGGGAAACAATATGTTTACATTATCAGAGACAATGGCTCTTTAATTTAAGGACATGTTTCCAAGGCTCCTTATGTTTACTGACACAAATTAACAAGTGACAACATCTGCCAGAAGGGAATTGAGATTTTTTTTTTCCGTGTTAGGAGTAATTTGAGAAACTGCAAGTCACTTCTGGTGTGAGAGAATTGGCTGTCTGCAAGGATGTCACCCAGGGGACCCCTGGATGTTTGATGTTGACCATCCTTGTGGCAGGCTTCTCTCATGTCCCTGCATGGGGAGCTGGAACTAACAGAGGGAGCTCAATCCACCAGGCTCTGCTCCATGGGAAGGAGAGAGATGGTGTATTTGGGAGTGGCAAATCTGCATGTGTATACATGCTTCCATGTCACCTGTGGACTTATGACAACCTCCATGACTTCCACTTTTGTGTATAGATGTGCGTATAGATGCTTCCAAGTCACCTGTGGACTTATGACAACCTCCATATCTTCCACTTGTGTGTATAGATGTGCGTATAGATGCTTCCAAGTCACCTGCGGACTTATGACAACCTCCATGACTTCCACTTGTGTGTATAGACGTGTGTATAGATGCTTTCAAGTCACCCGTGGACTTACGGCAACCTCCATGACTTCCACTTGTGTGTATAGACATGTGTATAGATGCTTTCAAGTCACCCGTGGACTTATGACAACCTCCATGACTTCTATTTGTGTGTATTGATGCGTGTATAGATGCTTTCAAGTCACCTGTGGACTTACGGCAACCTCCATGACTTCCACTTGTGTGTATAGACGTGTGTATAGATTCTTTCAAGTCATCTATGGACTTATGACAACCTCTATGACTTCCACTTGTGAGTATAGATGTGTGTATAGATGCTTTCAAGTCACCTGTGGACTTACAGCAACCTCCATAACTTCCACTTGTGTGTATAGACGTGTGTATAGATGCTTTCAAGTCATCTATGGACTTAGGACAACCTCTATGACTTCCACTTGTGCGTATAGATGTGTGTATAGGTGCTTCCAAGTCATCTGTGGACTTATGACAACCTCCATGACTTCCACTTGTGTGTATAGATGCTTTCAAGTCGTCTGTGGACTTATGACAACCTCCATATCTTCCACTTGTGTGTATAGATGTGTGTATAGATGCTTTCAAGTCACCTGTAGACTTATGGCAACCTCCATGCCTTCACTTGTGTGTATAGATGCTTTCAAGTCGTCTGTGGACTTATGGCAACCTCCATGACTACCATGGGGTTTTCTAAGGGAATCCTCAAAGATGGCTTAGCCAGGTTTCTCTCTGTTTAGATGTTCATGGATGGTTTTTTCCTGCTTGCAAAGTTATTCCCATGAAAGACCTAGACTCGTATTTTCCATTCATTTCTGAAAAGCCACACACAGAAAGAGTTGCAAGCCGCCGGTCTCATTAAAATGCAAAATACAGAGAGAGGTGATTACGCCCAAACTTCTGTCTCCATATTATGAGATCTTCACCGGAGACACACAGTCTATTAGGAGGCCTCGAACAGATGCACACCTGACTGCCGTCCATGAATACCATGCATCCCAATGAGAGGCAGGGAATTCGCTTTTGAGGAAAACAGAATATGCCATTAAAAGGGGTAAACAGACAAAGGGAATACAGGAAAATGCTGGAAGAGCATCAGCTTCTAATTACAATTATAAACGGAAGGAATACAGGAAAAAGGGTTTAACTTGATTTGGTAAGCACAGGAGGAACAACCATTTCCTAGGGCGTAATAGTCTTAATTCCTCATTGGTGACTGTAAGGAGGTATTAATTATATTTAGAGTTGGCATTCTTCAGCCTGAATCAATAAAACGGCCCTCCGAAGCTCATTTTTACCACTTTGGGTCCAGAACGGGAGCCCTTAATGCAATCAGCTTGATTTATTTTGCAATTTGCTTGCTGTTTCTTTCCCGTCTTGGGTTTGCGTTTCCAAACCCACCGTCCTCCCAATTTATGCATCTCATTAAATTTAAAGACCGACTGAGCCCTGATTAAACTGTAATCGTGCGGGTTACGTCTCTTTGAGCTTCTTCGTTTGCCGGTTTCCATCCATGACTGCAGGTCTCACTTGCCATTGGAATAATAAATAGGTCACTTTCCCCTCCTAATTAGAAAACCTTACTTTGAAACTGAAACAGAAAAGAGATTTGAGCAACAAAAAGGAAAGGTCTCGGGGGCACGGTTTTGTCCTGGCTCCGGTCCTTCCTGGAGGGCCGATCCCAGATGGTGAAGCTGGGAGATGCCTGCTCGGACCCCTGGCCTTTGACCTGTGGGGTCCCGCAAGGCTCTATTCTGTCTCCCATGCTTTTTAACATCTACATGAAACCGCTGGGAGAGGTCATCCGGAGTTTTGGAGTTAGGTGCCATCTCTACGCAGATGACACACAACTCTACTACTCATTTCCACCTAATTCCAAGGAAGCCCCTTGAGTGCTGGACGAGTGCTTGGCCGCTGTGTCTATCTGGATGAGGACGAACATGCTGAAGATCAATCCCGACAAGACAGAGGTCCTCCTGGTCGATCGTA